TAACGGGCCTTAATGCTCCACCTGTGGTATGTATGAGAATAGTAATATCGCCCATGATTGGAGGCCCTAACGGGCCTTAATGCTGCACCTGTGGTCCCGATGTAGAGGCCTTAACAGGCCTTAATGCGCCAATCGGGGTGTGCACATGAATTGGCGGCATTGTGCCGAGCGGCTTTAAGCCGAGTTCAATTTAGTTCAGTTACTTATATACCCAAGTCATGATATTTTTATTAATGATGTTGTTTTACTCGGTACCGATCGTTGCAGAGCATAGTGTTTTTGCTCACGCCCCCACTAACTTTCTTTTTAGGTGACGAAGTTCAGTGTGGCGAGTGAGCACTCGTGGTGGTCGTGGTCATGAGCGGTGGATTTTTGGCTTGCATTTTCATGTCATTATTTATGAACATGAGTTATTTATTATGCGTGTATTTATTATGTTTAGCTTCCCCATATTCAGATTCAGTATGTTATCATGAGACTCCAGACTTATGCATGTGTAATATCTTTATCTCCACGCTACCTTTACTGAATGGATTTGATTAGTTAAAATGATGTGGGTGAATGAATAGTGAATTTAGGTTGACGTGGTGTGTAAGAGCGATTAATTAATATTATTTAATTATATTGATGACAGTGCGATTTGAGTTAAAGTTTGAGTTAAAAAAATAATCGAGTTAAAAAATACTAGATGTAAGAGATATTCATTAATATGTAAATTGAAAATGATTATTGAATAATATTTATAAATTAAAAGAATCCAATCATAAAAACATGTTGTAGTTAACTAAATTTCAACAACCAGCTACTTGTATGATTTGGCAGAATTGAAATTGTTTTTCGATTGTATAGGCGGGACTTTCTAAAAAATTCAAATAAAGTTACCACGTTAGAAACTTCAAAATTTTTAGTTGGAATTTAGTTTCTATTTGAAGTAAATAGTTTCTTTTCAAATATTGATAGATCAAACGATTTACAAATTACAAAAACTATATATTATTGATCTGAATAGTATGAGTCTACAAAACCAAGCCAATAACATCTAAGCCCAATGATACATAATAAAATTGAAGTATATACATTGTCAAAATATTTAAAATACAACATAATATATATACCCTATTTAACATAATAATTAACAAAATAATCAATATATTATAACAAAGAAAAGACATTAAGAGCATGTTTGTTTATGGAAAATTTCCAAAATTTTTCAACATTTTAACTCAACTATTTTTTTTTAACTCAACTTTAACCCAACCCAATTATCATTAATATTATCAATATAATTAAATAATATCAACCAATCATTTTTACACACCATATGAACTTTAATTCACTATTCATTCACCCACATTATTTTAACTAACTATCACATCAAACCATCTCTCTCCTACTTTTTCATCAAATCATTTTAATTATTTTATTTTAAATATTATTTTAATATACCCACTAACAACTAACCATACCACCTTTTTCAAAATTAACCAAACCAAACCAAAAAATTCAAACAAAATCAAAAATACTATAAACAAACATGCTCTAAATGTTGTATACGAAGCTAAATCAATTCATCAACATTACCATATCAATTAACGTCACAAAGCTCATAAAATTGAAACCATAAACTGGAAAACACTCTTATACAAACCCCAAGTCGGCCCCCATGCCCGCCTTTTTCTTTTAGTCTTCTGAGGCTGCCCATACGACCCTTGTGGCGGGTAACCCCCTAACCAATACCCGTCGGGCCTCTCCCTCCCATTCCCACTCCAATTGGCTTTAAAAACAAATTCGAGCAACAATTTGTTTATTTTCAATGAGTGAAACACAGAAATTCTAAACTTTGGACGCAAAGAACAAAACAACGAAAACATAAAATAGAGCAATGTATAAAATATAATATAATTTCTCACATACAATGTATTGACCTATGAAAAAACTTTAGGAAGCCTTTGGTTTTGACACTGCAAAGTCAACGGACAATGTCTTAAGATCTTGTGGTGTATCCGTATTGTTGCTCCATCTCCCAACTTAGCTTTAATGCAATCTCATCTTGTTCTAGAACATAATCTTGCAATTATAAGGCATATGGTGTTTTAAAATTATTTAAAAATAAATAAATTCTGATAATTGAAATAGAAATTAATTAAACCACTCAGTTATGCAAAAGTCCCTCATACGATAAATATGAAATCCCATTTATGATTTTCTTTTTTTTTTCTTTTTTTTTTAATCAACAACAAATATAGTCATTAGATAATCCATTCACAAATTTCTGCAGTTGTTACATTTTCACCACAAACTCTACAGACAGTTACGTCCCCAAACACAAGCAGGATAAACCAAGCAAAGCTCACAATACTTCGGTTCACATGCAATCAATATATAGAGGAGCCTGTGTTCGTTTAGCTTCGAAGTAATAAAGAAAAGAAGCATATAATGGAGGAGTTCCAGAAACAAATTCTATCCATAAAAGAGAGCAATATTAAGAAGAATGAATATATGCTTGGCGCAAAGATCAAAGATGTCGTAATAGCAATATTAAAAAGAATAAATATAAAATGCACTTACAAGGAAGATACAAACACAAGAATGTCTCATGGAAGAGAAAAAAAAAAAACCAACACAATTTGTACTTAGATTTTAAAAGAAATGCTAAATAATTAAATTTGGACTGCAGGTTAGCAAACACATACAAAAGAGATAAGCATTCTAAGAATATTTCACTTGGAAGAGGGTTATGTATGACCCAAATATTATCTACTCGTAAAAAAAAAAAAAAA